CCTCACAAATTACAAATAGGTAATCTATAATTCAAATATTTGATACACTAACTCGTTCCATTATACACAATAGTTATAGTATGAAAGTAGTTTATTAACGAATTCAAATACCCTCTAATATTTTTTTATTCGATTATATTAAAGCTAAATCACCAAATATATGTGATCAAAGAACTTACTCACTAAAAGAAAAAATGGATTTTTGTTTCGGCTCTTTACCGAAACAAAAGGTTTTGGTGTCGAAGGAAAAACTTTTTACTTTGGCAAAAAAATGTCTTGCTTCGAGAAAAAGAGTGTGGTAAAAAAGCCCCGATGCAAAAGATTAGTTTCGACTTACTGCTGAAACAAAAATTTTTTAGTCTCGGCAAATAGTCGACGCGAAAACCTTGCAACAAAAGAGAATTATTTGTTTTGACAAAGTACTAAAGTAAAAAATTGATTATTCATGTAATATGATTTTATGTAGATGATCTAACCTTGAATGAAATGAACAATAAAATACAAGAGATAGATACTACATCAACAACAAAAAAAAAAAAAAGAATTTATTGATTCATCTTGTTTTTATGCTTAGGTCATGAGATGCTACACAGACAAATCCCTTACAAGGATGTTTAAACCATTTAGATGGCCACCAAAAGCATGCAACTAGGAGTACTCAAGATACACCCCGGCTGCTATATTGCTATGCTTCAAATATCTCAGTATCATGCATCTTAAAATTCTTGGTGTCGGCCCCTTAGCAACTAAAAAAATAGAGATTTATAAAATATAAAATACCCAAATAATTGTTCGTTAAAGTTGGTATTCACTTGTTATGATGGAGCACATAGTTAATCTTAAAAGTAATTTAAGTGGTAATAGACACGAACTGTAAATTCAGACGTCCTAAGTTTAAATTTTGACAACCCCTTTGAGTCAATCCATGAAGAATTTATCCCTTATAAATTTCGTAATATCAGCATGGATAGTCAGCCTTTAACTAGACCAAATAAAAAATTAGTCGAGAAGCGTAAAATCTGAGACAAAAACTTATAACCGTTGAACCTAAAAAAAATAAAAAATAAAATGGAGAGAGAGCACACAGCTATAGGGAGACAGAATTTAACTTTAGTACTTTTTAAAGTATCAATAATCAAACATAAAAAGTTTATTCATATATAAAGCAAAGGTTCACTTGAAAAGTATGAGAACCCTAATATAGCAAATATTTAAGAATGCTGATATGTTTCAAAATTGTACTTGGGAATGAGAAAGTGTTGCATATATCACCCTTTAGGTCTTTTCTTCGAGCTTCTTATTCTTCTCCTTTCTCTCTTTTTTGGTTTTTGGATGATAAATTCCGATTGGAATTAAGATTTTGATAATTGAAGGGATTATTCCTGAAAGAAAGTGCTTTACTGATGTGATTTGATGTACGAGTTTAGATGATTATTTTCTTAATTTATTGTCATCTTTTTCTTTTGAATAATTTATGAAAAAATATAGATGCTGTTGATCAGACAGGGATTAATGTAAGCAACCCAACTGAACTTTAGGAAGCTAATTGTTGAGATGGGAGCCAAAAACAATCACTTAATCGATCTCCAAGGATCTACCCGACTCATCGAACTCGAATACTTCTGTTTGGATATAAAATAAATTTTATCAATATTCTATGTATTGATATCTGAGAGTTTAGATGTAATAAGAAAATGTCACGTTGTAGAATCTGAAGATAAGCGAGAGACAATCAGTCACAATCATATTTAAAAAAAAGAAATAATTATTCGAAAGTTAGATAACCGTCAATAGAAAGAAAATTATTGAGGACAATGATTATAAAAGACACGTAGTGAAGAAGATGAAGACATACATTCAAACTCCTACATGACCTATAATCTGGGTATTTTTAGGAGTAGTTTTAAATTAGATTTAAAAGACAGTTACTTCTGTATTCAAGGTTGTTAATCAATCTTTTTTGTAACTAAAATCTCTTCGATTAAATTAAGAAATGGATCTTCTTTTATTATTTATCTGCACTATATGTTTGTCCATTTAAATTTATCCAAGAAAGCATTGAAATAAGGTATTTGAATCTCACACAAACAATCATCTCATAATTGTCTGCTAATTGAGGTTTTTTCGTCAATAACAACAAATTTTTGGAACAACAACTTCTTAATCATGTTTTGTTATTCAATTGGAAATCTATATTTTGCTTATGCAAATGGGGTTTTTGTACTATAGAATGTTGTTTTAAATTACCCAATAAAACTCATTTCCACCAACAAAAGACGACGACTTGTGCAGTGCTCACTGTGTTATTTTTGAATTGCGACTTGAGAAACTTCGACAACTCCAAAGTAGCAAAATGCTAGAATATGTGCATGTTAATCACAACTTATTCTGTGAAGAATATATCAGGGTTTATGAAGATTTTAAAGATATCTTAGTTGTTGCACAATGATTTTTCAGTATGATTATAGTGATACACACTTCTTTTTAACATTGCTTCGGTTGTTACCCCGAGTGCTTGCTTGAGGATTGGATCTGATTTATTTAAATTCCATAGATCTAACCGATTGAATTTGATCCTATCCAACTCAACCCTAGAACTTTCAATAGCTACTTAGAGACTCGTGCCCATTCTCTCTCAACTCTCAAGGCACAAGGCAAGAATATGGCTAATAATCCAATCAAATTATTTAGACTCGACTCGTGCTCAGTTTATTTTAAGTTTGGGTTCAATTTTTTTTTAAAACAAGTTAAATTTAAACAATTTTTAAACCCGTTTATTTGAAAAATAGTCGGGCTCGACCTGACTTAAGTTTAGACTTGTTTTGGGTTCAATTCGAGCCCGATAAATAAATCAAGTTTAAATAATTTTTTAACCTTATTTTTAAAATAAAAACGAGTTTGTAAAACTAGACCCAATTATGAACCATAACCATAGAGAGAGAAACTTCAAGAAAACGGACGACAGTTCCATCTCTTCAGGAGAAGTACACCAAGGCTAATTGTCAATCTGTCCAGAGGCAAAGAAGCCGGTCCCACTGCATTTACCTCCCAAGCACAATCTTGGGCTGGCTTGCCCAAGGGCTTGATACTTCCATCTCTTGTTAAAGCCTACTACGCTTTATGGCTTAGACCATCTTTACCTTCTAGCAAATGGGTCCACTTCACACATTGTATGCAAAATTTGGGCTTCCTTGGGCTAGAAAAGCCATAAAAAATTTCTGTAGGAAAGCCCATAATGCCAACAAGCCTCAACCAACTGAAATAGTATTTTAGAGATTTTTTATCACGCTTGGTTCTGCTATTTTTCAAGTTACCTATATATATATATAAATTAAAAAGTTACCTATATATAAGAAAAACTATTAGCTCTCCTTAATAATTGTTAAAAGGTTGATATATTGGCCTTTTGAAGTTGATTTTTTTGGGTGCAAAACAGAAGTTTGAAAGTGAAATATAAAAATTAGAGTTAAAAATATTTTTAAAACCGTTTAAAGTGTTTACAAAAAAGTCGATTTTCTTTTAAAAATCTTTGAATAAATCTCATTTTTCACTTTTTCTTGGTACTGATAAAAGTTATTTTTATCCAAATTGAAAAAGTCGCCTAATAAATCTGGGTTCAATCAAACTAAACTTATTTTCTTTAAAAATGAATTTTTTTTTTTTGACAAATCAGCTTCAAAGAAACCCATTGTATTTTATCAAAAATGATGCTTGACCTATAGTACAAATGGCATAAAACTTCGAATTTTTTTCTTGTGCTTATCTTTATGGGAAATTGATCATCCTCCAAAAATACTTTTCTGAATGATTGCATTCTAGTATATTGAGATAATTTTTAAAAACTCCAAAGATTTCAAAATTTATTCTTATCTTTTAATTTGAAAAGTAATTCAGGGGTCCTTCTTCTTTTTTCAATGAAGACATTTTCTTAAATTCAACAACCTCTAGAAAAGGGTGGAAAATCTTTTATTCATGCCACTAAGGTCATTCAACTTTTTATTTTATATATAAATATATTACTCTATATTTTTTGCTAGAGAATATTGTCTCTTAGTATCACGTAACTATTAACAAGAAATTTTTTGCACTTGAAGTTAAGGTCTCATCACGTGTTTTCGGGCGTTAAAGAGTAGATTTAACTCTATCAAAATACCAATGACATTTAATTCAATGATACGTCTTATCTTTGTGAAAATTTTACCTTCTTGAAATGAAGGGTTCAATCATCTTTCTCTCTTCTCCCTCCCAAAACAAAACCCCACCAAATTACCGTAATTATGAAAATTCGAATTCAAATATTGACATTAAGCGAGAAAATATGATATCTTATTCCCCGGACCAACTATTCACCGGTAAGATTATAAGACTTACAAAAAAAAAAAGGCTAGAAAATGATATATATGATGATAATATTTTTTATTTTAAAAAATTTGGAAAAACCCAAGAAAATGACATATAGGATGACGTCTACCCAGCTCACCACACAACTAATTTGAGGCTTATATTTGTCCACCATCTTTTTCATCTGGAACAGCATTTCAACACAATTTAAAAACTAATACAACCCAAATGCCTTTCCATACAATCTTTTTTTAATTTTTTTTCTTTTTATAGACCTCCATAATTAATTAATAAATGAGTATAAATAACTCATAAATATATAGTAGATATAATAATATTTTTTTTAAATTTAATTTATTTTAATTACGAAATTAGTTGTAAATGCTGTCAATTTTTATTGTGAACCAAACTCGTTGTCAATTCAATCCTATAAATGATTGAATTGTTATAATAATTTTATTTTTTTTTGCCTATTATCTGCTTTAAAAAAAAAAATTTAAAATTTAGGATTATTTCACTTTCGTTTCTGGGTGCTTCAGTTCATACCGATACTTTCCATTCCCTGTTTCTCTTCACAATCTCAACCGTCCCTAATCTTCCTGGAGATTCGTTCCGCGTAATCACAGTCAAATTTTCCTTAAAAGTTTTCATCTTTGTGAATGAAGGAATCGAACGTCGATCTTTTCGATCCACGGGCGGTCATGGAGTCGGACTTTTCGCCGGGCGGTGGGAACATCGCGTCAGTTTCCGATTCGGACTTCGGCTTCGCGTTTAACGACAGCAACTTCTCTGATCGGGTTCTGAGAATCGAAATCGTTCCGGATTTGCCGGATACCAAGTCGGACGGCGAGGGTTGTAGCAGTATTGCGGAGTGGGCTCGGAATCGGAAACGTAGACGAGAAGAAATCAAGAAAGAAAATGGTATTTCAGCAACCTATGTATATACATAAGTATATAATATACGAGTATGGTTGAATTGCTGAATGTTTTAGGGTTTGATTTTTGTTTTTTCTTAATATGATGAACTCAATATATACATGTACGTCTCTGTGTGTTTACCTATATTGTGGAATTTGTTGATAAAGTTTGAATTTTGGCAGATTTTGGTTTTGAAAGGTTTGTATTTGTTATCGATGTATGTAAAATTAGGGCTTTTTTGAGAGTCAGTAGCAGAATTGGGTATGTATAGGAAGAGTGATATTATGTGAACACCGAGATTATATATCTTATTGCCATTTTATTAATGAAGGTGAAAGGCCATAGTTTGGAATGTTTACCTTTGTTCTTTAATGACTTCTAAGGCATAGGAGTGATTGCAAATTGCAATTGGATACCAGCTACTTTTTAGATATTGGAATACGATACATGGAACTTCATATTGAGAACACAGATAATCTGTGTTCTCAATATGAAGTTCCATGTATCGTATTCCAATATCTAAAAAGTAGCTGGTATCCAATTGCAATTTGCAATCACTCCTATGCCTTAGAAGTCATTAAAGAACAAAGGTAAACATTCCAAACTATGGCCTTTCACCTTCATTAATAAAATGGCAATAAGATATATAATCTCGGTGTTCACATAATATCACTCTTCCTATACATACCCAATTCTGCTACTGACTCTCAAAAAAGCCCTAATTTTACATACATCGATAACAAATACAAACCTTTCAAAACCAAAATCTGCCAAAATTCAAACTTTATCAACAAATTCCACAATATAGGTAAACACACAGAGACGTACATGTATATATTGAGTTCATCATATTAAGAAAAAACAAAAATCAAACCCTAAAACATTCAGCAATTCAACCATACTCGTATATTATATACTTATGTATATACATAGGTTGCTGAAATACCATTTTCTTTCTTGATTTCTTCTCGTCTACGTTTCCGATTCCGAGCCCACTCCGCAATACTGCTACAACCCTCGCCGTCCGACTTGGTATCCGGCAAATCCGGAACGATTTCGATTCTCAGAACCCGATCAGAGAAGTTGCTGTCGTTAAACGCGAAGCCGAAGTCCGAATCGGAAACTGACGCGATGTTCCCACCGCCCGGCGAAAAGTCCGACTCCATGACCGCCCGTGGATCGAAAAGATCGACGTTCGATTCCTTCATTCACAAAGATGAAAACTTTTAAGGAAAATTTGACTGTGATTACGCGGAACGAATCTCCAGGAAGATTAGGGACGGTTGAGATTGTGAAGAGAAACAGGGAATGGAAAGTATCGGTATGAACTGAAGCACCCAGAAACGAAAGTGAAATAATCCTAAATTTTAAATTTTTTTTTTTTAAAGCAGATAATAGGCAAAAAAAAATAAAATTATTATAACAATTCAATCATTTATAGGATTGAATTGACAACGAGTTTGGTTCACAATAAAAATTGACAGCATTTACAACTAATTTCGTAATTAAAATAAATTAAATTTAAAAAATATTATTATATCTACTATATATTTATGAGTTATTTATACTCATTTATTAATTAATTATGGAGGTCTATAAAAAGAAAAAAATTAAAAAAGATTGTATGGAAAGGCATTTGGGTTGTATTAGTTTTTAAATTGTGTTGAAATGCTGTTCCAGATGAAAAAGATGGTGGACAAATATAAGCCTCAAATTAGTTGTGTGGTGAGCTGGGTAGACGTCATCCTATATGTCATTTTCTTGGGTTTTTTCCAAATTTTTTAAAATAAAAAATATTATCATCATATATATCATTTTCTAGCCTTTTTTTTTTGTAAGTCTTATAATCTTACCGGTGAATAGTTGGTCCGGGGAATAAGATATCATATTTTCTCGCTTAATGTCAATATTTGAATTCGAATTTTCATAATTACGGTAATTTGGTGGGGTTTTGTTTTGG